TGCTGACCATCGAGACGTGACTGCCGCTTGAGAGGCACTTCTGTTCATCGATTATCGTCGTTCTCTGGAAAGAGTGGAGGTGTGACGTTGACTTAGAAATGAAAGTAAGAGTGTTTTCGATGAGATTTTGCAATTTCTCGCTGTCGTAACTGAGAAATTATGAAAGGGTTAAAAAATAGAAGGGATAAAATCTTTCTTCAACCAGAATTGCTTCGTCGCGAATAAGAGTGAGGATTTGTTAGGTTTTGGACGTTTCCGGTTTTGACATTTATCATCAGACTAGATCCTTTAATAAATATTCGGTTGAGAACGGGTTAATAAGGATAATGAAGAAACAATTGCTGGATGCCATCACGTCAACCAAGTTGCCCAGGTCTGCTCTATTGCTCTACAACAGATATTGAAATAAATAAACAATGAGACAAGGGGTTGGAAGTACCTGCAAATTATATCATTAGTTTAAGCCAAGTCATGAAACAATAGACTAAAGCCGGCTTATTTTTAATACATTGGGGAATTGTGTCATCATCAATTAATTAATTACTCCTTAAAATGAATCACGAAAGAATAGCTTCATCTGAACTAATGTAAAAAATATAAAAAGTTTTATTGGTAAGAATAGGAATAAAATTTTTCCACATAATTTTCCACCACATTTCCACATCAGCATTTCAGACTCCAGCTGCAAGGTGAAGCAGAGCAACCAGCACCTGAAGGTAGCAGCCCTCCAGCCGCCGTAACGCAGAGGCGCCCCTGCGCCTGCGCATGCATCCTATTCAAATCGCTCCCTCAAAGGGCTTATTAGTGCCGGCGAAAGGTTTGTTTGTTTTACGATGAGCTGCTCCGAAGATTATCAGAGTGAATTGAATGACGCTTCATTTGCATTTAGGGAATCTTTTCGGAAATATACTAAGTGAAGAACGACGGTTCGAAGCAAGAATAATTCAGTAGAGTAGGAATCCTTGAAGTTGAATAATTTGTTACAGAAAGAATGTTTGGAAGTTGATGATGCGAATATGCGTGTAACTTTCATTGAAATTAGTTCATTATTTGTTCTACCTACCATGATGCAAATTTTGGTGCGACGAGTATTGATAACTGTTCGCTGTTTGCTGCTGCTTGCTCGAACCATCACTGATTTTGAATGGGCAATAATTGAAGTTCGTGTCTCAAATGTCGATTATTTTCAGCTCCGTCAACAGTGAAGCTGTGGATTGCTTTCTCGTGGCAGCCTTTCAGTTCAGGCTGCCATTTAAGGCTGTTTGTTAACAGCCAAAGCTAGACTGTCAATACACACAGACCTCTTATAGAACACCGCGTCTTCCAGGGTGCAATACTGCTTAAACCAAATGACTTGGCCGAGGAATTTGCTGTTGGTAACTTTTTTTGTGAATTAATTTGTTGTGAACGACTTCTTAGCGCACGAATTTGTCTTAAATGACTTTATATGCAAGAATTTGTCGTATCTGAATTTATATGACACGAATTTTTCGAAGGCGAGTTTGTAGTGCATGACTTTGTCACTGGATACAGTTTAATTAATTAATTTCTTGTTGGTAACTTTGCGGTGGATGACATTGTAATCAGTAACTATGTTTTGAACTACTTTGTTGTGCCTGACTCAAGTGCAGGTGTCTATGTAGTAATGACTCCATCGAAATTGTTTCTTTAGCCAACGTCGCCGACTTATTTGTTGTAGATATCTCTTTCTGTTGAGTTTACCATGAGGTCATCTCTGTAAAGGCTTCTTATAATTTGATATGACTTACGAATCGCAAAGCATTTGACAAAGTTGACCATGGGGTGCTCTTTAGAAAGCTGAGGCTGTTAGGGGTAGGAGGAAGCCTGTTAAGGTGGATCCACAACTTCCTTACAGATAGAGTACAAGCTGTCGCAATTGGAAACTCGAAATCGAGAGAAGCGAAGGTGAAAAGCGGAGTTCCGCAGGGCTCAGTGCTTGGACCGATCCTCTTCCTCATCCACATTGCCGATATTGACTCAGAACTCACCCACGCATCTACATCGTCATTTGCGGACGATACAAGAGTGCTGATGAAGATCACAGATGGCCTAGACTGCGAGAGGTTACAGGATGATCTATCGTCAATCTACGATTGGGCCCTAGTGAACAATATGCAGTTCAACGGCACCAAGTTCGAAGTAATGAGATACAGAGACCGCACAGAGATCGGGATGCCACATCGCTACTTGGCATCAGATGGCACAGAAATTGAGGAGAAGCAACTAGTTCGAGATCTCGGAGTGTTGATGAGTACTGAAGCCACGTTCGATGCCCATATCGAGGAAATAGTCGCGCGCAGCCGGCAAAGGATGGGGTGGATATGGCGGACATTTCGAACGAGAGAAGCAGCACCAATGATTACACTCTTCAGAGCCCTCGTGCTCCCCAATCTTGAGTATTGCTGCCAGCTTTGGTCGCCACTCAAGGCGGGTGCGGTGCGGAAACTGGAGGCAGTGCAGCGTACCTTCACGTACAGGATCAGCGGCATGAGGGAGCTGAACCTGAACTACTGGGGAAGGCTGAAACACCTGGAACTGTACTCACTGGAGAGAAGAAGGGAAAGGTATATCATACTGTACACTTGGAAGATGATAAACGGACTGGCTCCCAACTTTGAGAGTGAGACCTCCAAATTAACGACATATTACAACGAAAGAAGGGGGAGACTGTGCAGGATTCCTCCATTTAATTACCGAGCCGCGGCCAGAGTACGGACTCTTCGTGAGGGATCACTGTCCGTGGTAGGACCGAGGCTCTTTAATGCCTTGCCAAAAGCGCTGAGAGGAGGGGAGTTCACCCTTGCAACATTCAAGAGACGACTGGACAAGTGGTTGAGAAAGATCCCGGACTGTCCAGTAATGGGAAACTACCCTCAGCAAGTGACAAGCAACAGCATCTTGCATCAGCTGGCCCAAATGAGGGCAAATAGACGGAACACGTCCAACGTTACATCCGACGACGACTCGGAGACGGAGGACGACGAAGGCGGCGCATCAGCGTGACCTTGGACTACGACGTCCTAAACTCATCATAAGGTCATAAGGTCATAAGGACGTAGATCACTACCTGTCCCGCATCGCAGTCTCCGAGTCACCACTTACCCTGATAAAAGGATATGGGAAATATGAAAATAGTTCAATATTATACACAAAAAATACATGTTACATGAAGTAAGAATATGAAGGTATATTATACACAAAATACGTGCATGTTTAAAATGGTCACCGGAGGCTAGACACAGATGAGCTTTGTAAAGCAACTTAATGTATTACTCAGTTAAAACATTTATATTTGATTTTCTAACCTAATTTGCAAGCAAATCCTGGATGAGATTAGTAATATTGATTAGTAATAAAATTTCGGCTCAGCAATTGGTAAACCATTAGCTCATTGTAAATTAATACTTCGCACAGCTGTTTAGAAATTTAGGATGTTCAGTCATTTTCACAATTTAATAAAGCATTTATATTTGAAGTCGGGATGAATTTGTAAGATTTTTGAAAATTGCGCTAAACCTATTCCATAGTTTTATTTAAAAAATCAAATATCCACATCCAATGAAACATTGGGACAAATTGAAAAAAGAATTTTAATCGTGACAGTATGTTACAACGAAGCTTGCTCGTGATATCATTATTAAATTTCGGACGTCAATAAGTCCCGATTTTACAGGGCGTTATAATTAGACGGACACTAATTGACCGATAACTTAATGCATGCATTACGCTATGTAGTTTGATATTTATATATTCCGCGCTTTTGATTAGAATTTTTTATTATACTTCATGAAATTTAAATTCAATTCCCAAGCTCTTCATAAAACTCAATATTCAGTCCGTATAACAATGTCATAGGAATATCTCGAGCAAATAATTCGATGAAAATTCCTAAAGGATAATAGTTGCAGATCGGAAACGAACAGAAAACGAGGTAAAAAATTCAGTTAGTTTTAAAGTCTGGTGCAAGTGCAAGCGACTTTCCCGACGTCCTTGACTGAAAGAAGTGACAGGCGAACGCCGGTCGTATAAAGAGGGTGAACTGAACGAGCGTTTCCCGTATTAAATCGAACAAAAGACGATTAGCATTGGTGGAAGCGGCAAGAGTGCAAGAGGAAGTAGAGTGAAGAGGCGGCCTCTTCATGGCAAATTTTATTCCGGTTCAGTATTATTGTGTTGTTGCCGTGGTGCGCTAAGTATTTTGCGTTGTTGTTGCCATGGTGCGCTAAGTATTTTGCGTTGTTGTTGCCGTGGTGCGCTAAGTATTTTGCGTTGTTGTTGCCGTGGTGCGCTAAGTATTTTGCGTTGTTGTTGCCGTGATGCGCTAAGTATTTTGCGTTGTTGTTGCCGTGGTGCGCTAAGTATTTTGCGTTGTTGCCGTGGTGCGCTAAGTATTTTGCGTCGTTGTTGCCGTGGTGCGCAAAGTATTTTGCGTCGTTGTTGCCGTGGTGCGCTAAGTATTTTGCGGAGTTCTGTTTCAATCTCATTAATGACATCTCATTTAGCGTATAAATTAACCTAGAAACCGATGGTAGTTGACATGCCACACGAATGATTAGTTTTAATATCATTAATTGAAACATGAAGTATTAATTAGTTTCAATTTCAATACTGCGATTTTCATTTCATTACGAACCATTGCAACATAAATAATATTAATATAAATATGATGAACTTCGCCGGAAAAAAATAATGTGATTCATTAAGTATACAGGTATATAGTGTATTTAATTAAGTGTATTTAATAGCGTATTAAATGCACTCTTAATAGTGTATTTAATTAAGAATCATTCCCATATAAATGATAAGAATATTAAGTTATTCACCATGAGATTAACTAATTATTGGAGAAGCGGATGAACACGGATGCTCTGGATGTTTTGAGCGACGGTCCGAGTCCTTGGAGAAGGTAGCGTGGATGCACCGCTCGTGAAGCTATAAAGGAGGGGTGATCGTCCCGCGCGGCTCAGTTGTGCACCGGCAGTGCCAGAGGTACCATTGTACATGGAGAGCTGCTCCATTTGTTTTACTTGAAGAACCCTCGACAGAACTTAATTTCGATCCTAACCACTGCCAGTTTTGCATGGTTCCCTTAACGACTTCGAACTTTCCACGATTTTGTTGCGTAGATGCATGTTTGTGAGAAACTATTGTGATCAGCCGCTAGTGGAATATTAAAAATAAACTTTATTGAACTAAACGAATCTTGTGAAGTGTGAGAGTGATATTGTGCACGCTACATCCAATAAAATGAAGATCAACTTCTTGGTGAGTGAAATTTATATTAAATAAAAACAAATTATTCTCAGTATATATTAGAAATCGACAGCTTTTTGATAACTATTTGTATTGCAAATTACTTATAGAGAGTTTCTCCGATAAATTAGCAATTAAATTTTGGATCATTGCTTTCGAGATGGTGATTCAAGTTGTAATGAATATAGACTAATACAATCTACAGTTTAATTGGCAAACGCACTCAATATTAAATTCAAGATTATTACTTGATTCTGTGTTTCAATTTAAATGTAAAAAATATTAGAATACTTCGTAACTTTCATTCGTAACTTTAAAGTCAATGACCACTTAGTCAAAAATGAGATAAAATAACAACAGTTAATATATTCGGTGCAATTTTATGCGAAGCCTTCGAGGATTCAATTCGTAAACCTTCGCCTCATTTCGTTAGCTGATTTCCTCTATTGTTCCCTTTATATAATATTCTAAATATTCTATTAAATTAATATAATATTAATTCTAAAATTGTATCACAGCTGCGCCCCAGGAATTTTTTCCTTCTATGTTTCATCGTCGATGTCCCTCTCGATCGGTACATGTATTCGACCGTCACGTCTGAGAGGCTCTCACGCCTGCTATACAGTCACTCGTGTTGCTTCCACACACTCAAAACGTTCATGAATTACTTTCCCTGAATTCTATACATGTTCATGAATTTTCTTACCTTTCTCCGTCTTCTCTTCCCACTCGTTCTCTTGCTGCGTTCTTAAAAATTTGCTAGAATTAAAGCTTCCAATTAACTGGCGTAAGTATCTGACCGCTAAAAATTGTGAGGCCTTTGGCTGCTACGCCTGTAGAAAAATGCCTGCAAGCTGTATTACATCTATGACCGAGCAAATGTGAGCAAATATTATTGTGAGCATTATTATTAATTATATTATTAATATTGTGAGCAGCCTGCAGCAAATATTACGTCTCCGACATAGCAAATGTAATAATGCATATGTTTGCAACGCCTGCAGAGAGCTGCCTGCAGCAAATATTACGTCTCTGACCGAGCGAATGTAATGCATTTTTTACAATTCTTGTAGAGAGTTGCTTGCTGCAGATATTACGTCTCTGATCGAACAACGGGTTTGGTCAGAACTGGTCTCTGACCAATAATAAAAATGGGTCTCTGACCAATTCTTAAGTCTCTGAGCAGGCAAATGTAATGCATTTTTTATATTCTTTTAGAGAGTTGCTTGCTGCAGATATAATGTATCTCTCTCGTGCAAAACCGATGATATTTTTTCGGCTCACAGCTTATTTTCACTCGAACACATGTTATGCATTTGATTGTATAAAACATTAATTTTGACTGTGCACCGACAAAGACGTAGCTGGTCTGACAACTTTCAGTTTCAATGCAGATCTTCGCTTAAAAGTCTCATTATAAGGAAACAAAGACCCTGATTGTGCGCTGATATACCACACGTGAACATCGCGCTGTAGTCACGCCAGCTCATAAAACTGATTCTTAACCAGCGGGTGTCAGTTGTAGAGCAAGAGAATGCATTTCAATTGCATTTCATTATGACATTCAACAGAATAGTTTAAATGAGATTCGGAAACGTTTTAAATATCTATGATACATTAACGCTCGTTGTATATTTATGAATTGTGTTTTATTGATAATTGTCAGCATATTTGCGTTAACTGGATCTCAATATCAATTTAATTTCACAACTATTTTTAGTTTATCTACGAGCGTTCATACAGAGCGCATTCTGATTTTTAATATAAAATGAGGATTTCTTATCTAATTTCATAAATCTATCTTATTCTATCATTCTATCCATTAAAGATTAGATCTATATTTTAATCGCCGATATTTATCGGGTGGCACTACTTACTTATCTTCCATACAAGCTGCCTGTACAATACTCGTCGACCGCGGCTACTTTCTTGGTCCCTGTTTCATCAGCAATTGCAATGGACCGTTTCTGGAGCATCGACTATACCAGACACAAGCACCAGTGAGGAGTGCAGAAAAACACATGAGAAGGCTGCAGGGCCGTGGTTTTTATTTGGTTTACCAACACCGTGACCTGGATCCCAGAATTACTAGAGTATGAAAAACCAATGTAGAAAAACCGACCGTTCGTCAACCATCACGAGTGACTTACATTGCGGCTCCTAGGTTCAGCGCCCCCGCCTACTTAACCTCTATACTTATTAATTAACCTCTAACATGTTTTAGTCAGTATCAAGGTATTTCAATTTTTCGCTTCTGTTCATAGTTTCGAACGTTATTCTTTAAGGACTACTATACAGTAACGCTTTAATTAAAGTTTCAGTTTTTAGTCCAGTAAAACCGTCCAAGTTAAATCCTTTGAATTAATTAATACTGTAACTTCTCAAGGTTAAGCAGACTAATAAAATAGCGAATATTTCTGAATATAACCTACAAAATAATATTCAAGTCGCGAAAGCTCCCAGGCAAGTGAGTTAAAGTGAAGTATGATGGTTATGAGAGAGAGCCTCCATTAGAGCCGTGATAGAGACCGCCATGACGAAAGGGTGGGTGCCTGTCTGCTGCGTTCGATGTCAGGAGGAGGGATGATCGAGTGTTCTCTGTTGGATTTATAGCGAAGGAATTAGCGAAAATATTTTACAGTGCTCGATGTATGGGATTATGAATAAATTCTAAAGCTTTCGATTTGAAATAAAGTTCAATTTCGAGTGATTAGTCAATAAACACAGGCTATTGAATAATTAGATAAGTTTTTTTACCTGCGTCTCTGCAAACGCGATGCTGTCTAGTGATTGTTAGTATCCAAATGAAACGTTTGTAATAAAAACCACATTATGAACTTTGTTCTCCTATTCAAAGGCAAATAAGATTTATAATGATATTTTACTATTATCTACAATCTGTACCAATATAATATATATATAAAAATATAAGCGAAATTATTCATAATTAAAAAAATCCCCCGACGAAGATGAATTTCACAGCCGAACACGTATCTATTACGGGGGAATTGATGACGGGTTTTCCCATGCACGGCTAGGGCGTGTGCTTTGCTCAACACATCGCACGTCCCGCTATTCCCACGCTATATCCCTCACGCGCGCATCTTGTGCCTGCGCTACTGTGGGGAAAATCGTAACGTTGTTGTAACGTTGTGGGAAAACTCGAACTGGTCGTGAATACCTGCTTAAATTCCGTGCGTGAATTGCGCATATGTAACAAATAGAATGGTTTATAAATGAAATAAGTTCATTCGCTTGCAAATTAGTGAAAACGGAGCAAAATTCAAACACAACCAATATAAAAAAGTGTACACTCGTAACACATGATTAGTGGTGGTTACAGTTTATTCAATGAGCAAGGGTAACTTAGACTCAACTCTGTAACTCAAACTTTGTCTGAGTTACATCTTTGAGCTTATATAGATTAAATAGCTTGAATTAATCGCAGGGGAACTTATTGTTTGCTTTTATTTGGCCATCGCCTTGTTAAAACTTTCCACTAAAGCAAGGATTGACTTCCTGATAATCGCAAGCCTGCATATTATTTTGTCATTACATATGTATATGTGATGAACATATACGTGTTCATGTTTCTAATGTCAACAATATATATATTCGGGGAGTACCTAAACCATTGCAATCACAATTGCGTCGTCGTCAACACCTCTCCAGCCCTTAAAATAACCTTACAATAAATTCTTTTTACAATTTCAAATCATAGCTTCAGAATCTATTCGTCACTTCGCCTCGTCGTGAGCTCAAATAATAAAAATATGATAGCTAATTTGAACAACGAAAAAGTGAACATATTTCTTAGCGTGATCTGCGGTGCTCGTCTGAAGGAATGCTTCGATCGCTTATTATTATATATGATTTTTATACATTCCTTTCCTTGCAAATTTGTAAAAATATAAAAGTAGGTATAGGTTCCTGATTCACCCTTAACAATGCCGGATGCCAACCATCATAAACATGTCAGTAATCTAGTTTGGACCTAAATAACCCCGAGATTAGGGCTTTGAACTATAATTATTTCCTAGATGATGAACCTGCTGACGCAATGTGGGAACTGAGATGCGTCGTGGTGATCATTAATTGGATTTATTATCGTGCGTTTGAGAAAGCGTGCGGTAATTCACGACAAGCATTCGCCAGCCTACCAAATCTATCGTATATTTTGGACCAACTTTCTCTATGATGTTAAGCTAAAATTAAAGTACAAAATCGATTTTCCTCTAGCTTTATTAAAATTTTGATTACGACTTATTTGTTTATGTCACCCTTTTTGACGACTTTTCTCTGGATGAATCCAAACATCATAAAAAGTTATTTTAATAAAAGGGAATTTCGAGCAAACGATGCGTCGCCAGCTCTGTGGATCACTACCGGAGTCGCTTTGCAGTCCTCAAGCAATTATGCCAAAATTAGCCATTTAATTCACGTTAAAACGTATGTTTACGTTAAAATAATTTATAAATTGACCGGTTAAGTTTTTCCTTTTCTTGTACTTTAGTCATTATTAATTATTTAATTATGATTTTAACAGATAGCGAGCAAGATCTTAATAACTCCGCAGAACCTTGGTAAAATGTAATATCAGTGGCAGTATTTTGCAGCATTTTGGGAGTGGTTTATTAGGGAGGTGAATGTTTCTCAAAATAAGTGATGAGTTTACTGTGATGAGTGTAATGTGGTGAGTGTAATGCGATGAGTGTAATGTGATGAGTGTAATGTGGTGAGTGTAATGTGATGAGTGTAATGTGATGAGTGTAATGTGGTGTGTAATGTGATGAGTGCAAATTGGCTTTCATGTGCGCGTCAGAAAAAGTTGTTGGGCAGAAACTTTCAGCCGACGCCGCTGGGGATGAAACTTGGACCAGATACTCTAGTTGGCTTCCAAAGAACTTAGCGTGCAGCCCGCAATTTTCTAGGCCCTTTTATGGCATATGCCCGTTTTATACGACCGTTCGTTTCATGGTAATTAGGATTCAAAAGAATGCTTCATGAACTTA